AGAAAGAAAGAAAGAAAGAAAGAAAGAAAGAAAGAAAGAAAGAAAGAGAAAGGAAGGAAGGATAAAAAGAAGAAATAAAGTAGAGAGAAGAGAGAAGGGAAAGGAAGGGAAAGGAAGAGAAAAGAAAAGAAAAAGAAGCAGAAACTGCCAAGAATTATGTGTTTGTCTATCCTAGAAGCATTAATTTAACTATTAGTACTCAAAATGTGACATCTCTATCCAAATACCAGTAAGGTGCTATACTATGGGAGGAACTGAATCATCTTAACATTGGTAATCTTATAAATGAAACAAGAGGTCACCATTCTTTTATTTGGCAAATACTTAATGGTGTGTACCATCTTACCTTTAAAGTTCCTAGGTGATACAGTGGATAGAGTGTCAGGCCTGGAATCAGGAAGACACATCTTCCTGAGTTTAAATTCAGATACTAGCAAGTCATTTAACCCTATTTGCCTCAGTTTCTTCACCTGTACAATGAGCTGGAGAAGAAAATAGTAAACCATTCCAGTATCTTTGTCAAGAAAATCCCAAACAGGGTCACGAAGAGCTGGATATAACTAAAAAATGACTGAACAACAACCATCTTACCACTGTTATTTATGCTTTGGGGTTTTGTTAATGTTCAGTTTAAAGAATAAATATATTCCAAGATATTTATTATTCCACATTCTTCTATGTAGCATAGTATTCATTCAACTTATTTATAAAATGCTAATAAGGATGTAATATATTTCTGGACACATATACAAGATTTTATCTTCACCAAACACACACACACACACTCACACATACACACTTATGTGTGCATCACTCTTCCTAGTAGTGTATTCTCAGAAGCATATGTGATGTCTTGAAGAGTAGGAGCTATTTTTTTGCATTTCTTGACATCTGTAATAGCTCTTGGCACACAGTAAGTACTTAATAAATATGTGTTGACTGATTCTTTAAAAAAATCTTTTTGTGTGGTCTTGTCATGTGATGTCATTGTTGTGAGGACTATCTGGTACTGAAAATTCCTCCACTGGTGCAGACTGTCAACTTATCTGCAATATGAAGTCTTAGAAAGTTGCTTGGAGCTCCATGAATTTAGGTGACTTGCCCATGGTCACATGGCTAGTAAATTTTGGAGGCAGTACTTGAATACAAATATTCTTGACCCCACATCACCCCATCCACTACTCCATATTGTCTCTAGAACATTTAAAGCCAGATGTCCTGTCAAATTCAATATTTTCAAAACACAACTTACTGTCTCCTACCCCCCCATCCCATAATCTACTTCTTCTTCCTAAATTATCTGTTTCTATATAGGGCACCATGACCCTTTCAATCACCAAGATTAGAAATTTCAGACTTTTCCTCAGCCCCTCACTCCATATATCCAGTCAGTTATCAACTCTTTTAGTTTATACCTCCACATCTTGAATCCATAAATTTTTTCAGCTCATGCAGATACCAACTTTGTTCAGGCCTTCATTACCTCTAATGTGTATTATTATGGCAATAACCTATTAATTGGTCTCTCAGTATTATCCCTCTCTTCTCCAATCTATCATCCATACAATTGCCAAAATGATTTTTCTAAAGCATAGGTCTGACCATGTCACTCTTCAATAAACTTCAATGGTTCCCTATCATTTCCAGGATCAAATATAAACTCTTCTGTTTAGAATTCAAAATCCTGTACCACCTGGCTTCAACCTCCCTTTCAAGGGTTATTATATATTACTCCTTTTTGCACACTCGTCATTCCAACCGATCTGATCTTTTCGTTCTTATTCATGCAGAATATCTCCCATCTCCATGCCTTTGTACCTAGAATGTATTCCCTTATCACCTGTACTTCTTATAAACCCTAGTTTCTTTCAAAGTTTGGCTCAATGTTACCTGCTCCATGATGCCATTTCTGACTTACCTGTCTACTAGTTATACACTCCTCAAAAATCACCTTGCAATTATTCTATATGTATTCATCTGTGCACACACACTGATTGATGCTCAGAATATAAGTTCTTTGAGGACAGGAATTATTTAATTTTTGTATTTTGGATATATATGCACATACATATGTATATGTGTATGTGTATATACATATATTACATATTATGTACATATGTGTGTATTCATATATATATCATTACACATATGTATGCAATACTTAGTTTGTGTAAGTACTTAGGTGCTTTATCTTAAGTACCTAGCTCAGTGTCTGGCACATAGTAATTACTTAATAAATGGAAGTTGATTGACTAATATTCTATGGAAATAAATATTTTATTCTCACCTATATTTCTAAAATACAGCAGACCAGCACAACATGGGAATCTTGCATAGGTCTCTGAAGTACAACACATTACCAGCTCTATATAGACATGTACATACACACACACACACACACACACACACACACACACACACTTCTCAGTACAGAGTAAAAGTATGAGGACAGAAAATGTAATGAGAAAATGTAACATCCAAGGGAACCACTACAGAAAACTCTTTTACTCAAGTGCTTCAAAATTCAAGTCACAGTCTTATTAGCAACTTTGTGGGTCAGATGTCAGAAAGACCATTGACAATGGAATAAACATCAACATTTAGTGTTTGCACAAAGTTCAATATTTTTATTTGTGCTCATAAGAAAGTAATTATCTTGCTTGGGTTTAGGATTCCCATTCTTATTCTTCAATAAGAATGCTCCGACATTCTGAACTCTGAGTAGTGTATAATTTAGGAATCCCATTTGTAGGGTTGATTCTTTCACTCCTCCCATACTTAGAATTTTTAAAAGATATTTAAGATGTTTCAGAGTTCATCCCCCAACTTCCATGCAGCATGCTTCTCAACCAATTCCCTTCCCAAAACCAAGTAGATTATATTTTGTGAGAAATTTAAGAAGATTCTTTGATAAGAATAATCAGGAAGGGCAATAATTTAGAAAGTGATGAACATGTTAAAACATGAGCACAGAATAGAAAGAACAGATGGACTTGGAAAGAGCAAATGTATGATTTGAGACAAGGCCTTAAATTGATCTTAGTTTAAACATCTACAAAATGGTAATAATAATATTTGCCATTCTATTTCCCCATCCTCTCCTTCATCTTTTTCTTTCTCTTCCTCTCCACCTGTCTCCTCTTTCTCTACCTTTGTTGGTACCGTATCCCACTATTAGTCTATTAACTCCTTACGATCAGAGCCAATTTCTTATCTGAACTTTTTAATCTTCTGTAGGTTTGCATATAGTAGGTGCTTGATAATTATTTCCTCTATTATTTTATTGTTTTATTATCTTAGAAAATGTGATGTCACCATGGGCATGTGATCTTAGAATATGTCTCCTTACTCAAGGTCAACTTCAATGATGTGTATTTTACAAAACACATCTTTAAATGAGTCTTCATATAACCTAAAAGCCACACAGGAGTGGATGTAAATGGGTCAATAACTGTACCATTGGAAAAAAGACCCAAACCAATGAGACCAGCTCCTTTGATATCATAGAATATAATAGAGATGCATTTCAAATGTGCCAACAGTAAATGAGAAATTTCTCTCTTTTCTCCCTCAATAAAACAGTACACTTCTTTTTCAGCCTAGAGAGAAAGGTAGCAGTGAGTGTGCCTTTTGGAACTATTCAAGTGATACAATGAATGGCAGCTGGTCTACAGAAGGCTGTGAACTGATGCATTCCAACTCGACTCATACCTCATGTAAATGTAATCATCTGACACATTTTGCTATTCTGATGTCTTCAGGTGCTTCTATTGTAAGTGCATTTGGGGGTTTTACCATTTAGTATCAAGATAAGGCTTGTAGGAGGGTTTTTTTTAGTGTTCCTAAAGAGAATATATCATTGATTTCATCTCACTTCCCTTCCATTGGTAAACTCACCATGTAAATTCTACAGAATAAAAATAACCTGGAATTTAAGCCTACATGTTCCTAGATCCTTATGTCCAGGATGTATTTCATCAGTGATGTAATAACTTACTCCAGATTTCTTTGTTTTAAATGTCAGTCAGATTTTACTTAGCCTGCCTCAGTAAATTACTGCATTATTGTGAATGCCTATATCTTGATCTCTAAAACCTAGTTATTTTTATGACTGAACTCCAACAATGCTTTCATTACCCTGACAAAAAATTATCAGTAAGACAATGTGACTAATTATTTGCATGTGTATTATGTATGTGTGTATATATGCACAAATATATGTACAAATACACACGTGTGTGTGTGTTTGTGTGTGTGTGTGTGTGTGTAGTAATATATATAGGACTGGACCTAGAATCCTACATCAGTTACTTACTAGCTACTATGACCCAGATCAAGTGACTTAACCATTGTCTGCCTCAGTTTCCTCATGTGTAAAATGGGAATAATAATAGCACTAGCCTCCCAGGGTTGTTGTGAGAATAAAGTGAGGTAATATTTCTAAAGCATTTTGCAAACCCTCAAATACTATTTAAATGCTGGCTGTTATTGGCTACTATTATTTAAATGCCTCTGAAACACTAATCTATGTACATATAAGGAAAATATGTGTGCATATGTTTGTATACGTTTATTTCTGTTATATGTACTGCATGTTTATACATAGAAAGAAGGAACCGATAGAGAGGGAGAGAAAGGGAGAGAGGGGAGGAGGCAGAGGCATGCTGTGTGACTTAGTGGGTAGTGAGCAGGCTTTAAAGTCATAAAGACCAGGGGTCAAGTCCTGTATTTGACATTTAAAAGCTAAATAACCATAATCAAATCATTTGATATCTAAAGACTTCAGGTAACACTCTCCCAAACACTTACAAGTGATTTATTGATTTATAAGAAGGCAGGGAGTTTCTACACTGAGTTCCCCCATACCCGTGAAATTGCTGCTTTGGTGGCTCCATAATTCAAGCGTAGGTGCAGATCTAAATATATATGCACTGGAATGGTGCTCTCTGATTCACAAATGCATATTCATCAAAGATGATTTTTTTTTACATTTCACAATTTGTATCATGACCTAAATTAGAATAGAGAGATATCTCTGCCAATATTTAGAATCTATATTTGGGTATAACTTATGACCAACTAAAATCTCTCCCAAACTGATGTGCAGGCAAATATTTCAAAGGTCCTTTTCACTGGATACCAAATAGCCAGAGGAAACACACTTTCAAGATATATTTCTCTAATTACAAATAAATAAATAAATAAATAAAATAGGCAAACCAATTTCAAGGTCTTTGAGCTATACTAATTATGTTTAATATTCTATATATTTAGTGTTCTTAATAATTTTATTCAGCATGTTTTGAATGAATCACTGCTTGGTTAAAAAAAAGGAAAAGGAAAAAGTGTTTTTGTAACATTTTGTGAATTTATTTAAATTAGCAGCATCCCAGATATTTACTAATAAATTGTTTTAGAATTATGAAGAAGTAAGTTATTTGAACACTAGCTAGCATTTAGATAGCATGTGATTTACACAGTGCTTTACACAAGTTTGATATTTGATTTGATAGTCATAACAACCTTGTCAACTAAATGGTATTATTTTCTAGATGAGGAAAATAAGATTGAGGGAAGTTAAGTGAATTTCAGGGTCACAAAGCAAAGGGTTGGGCTGGATTTGAATTGAGGTCTTCTTAATTACAGGACCAGTGCTCTATCTACTGTGTCACCCAAATGATAGTGAAGATATCTTAAAATCGTCATGCTAATTCACATCATAGGCAACAACAAAATGCAAACACTAATTTTCCTGCAGCTTAAGAAATGTCACATAAAAGCCTGTCAAAAGTATCAATGTGTTTTTCCTCTAAAAGAACGTTCATTTTCCACGTACTGACCATTTTGATTATGATTCACAAAAAATAAAGGAGATTTACTATAGGTTGGTGTTACAATGACAAGCAACTGAGTTAATCTCTTAAGAGTTTTCTTATTTTTGGTCCTCAGGGTATTAAAGATTACGATATTCTTACAAGGATCACTCAACTTGGAATAATCATTTCATTGGTTTGCCTCGCCATGTGCATTTTCACCTTCTGGTTTTTTAGTGAAATTCAGAGCACAAGGACCACCATTCACAAGAATCTTTGCTGCAGCCTCTTTCTGGCAGAGCTGGTTTTCCTTGTTGGAATTAACACAAATAGTAATAAGGTAGGTCTTTGGTATTTTGTGGGTGTTTTGAACTTCCTGCTAGCTATTGGCTGGGGACACTACTTCATTTGCCATCCCCATGAAGCAATTATAGAATATTATTTTCCCCCAACTATCCCTTTCATTGGCATCACAACTCTTGCCAAAAGTCCAAATCAGATGGAGGGAGAAGACTAAAATTTGGTAATGGTTGTTATAATTTATTAATTCATTTCTGTTTAGTTCTTTAGCAAAAATCCCTTCACAGTTGCATGTCTTTGGAAATGAGCTTCAAATTTTGTCAGTACACAAAAGATATACCTTCTTAGCTCATAGGATCATAGAGCTAAACCTGGAGATCACTCAAAAGTCAAGTAGTTCAACCATATTTTACAGATGAGGACACTGACTGTATGTCTTTTGATATAAAAATTCATTTTAATGTTTGTAAAGCATATTCCATATAACAGTTCTGTGAGAGTAGTCATACACATACTATAATCCCCATTTTGTAGTTGAGGAAACTGAGGCTTTGATTCTTTAAGTTTCTTAACCAAGAGTCACACAGCTAGAAGACAGACAAACATAGATGCTAGATATACACATACATACATACATACAAAGATGATAGATCCATGGATACATTGATGTGGCAGCATTAGAATCCAAGTCTTTTGGCTCCTGGTCTAGTGATGTTTCTATTAGGTCACTGTCCTTCAGAAGCAAGAAGGAGAACATTGGATCAAGGCAGAGCTGTTAGCTAGAACTCAAGAACTGAAATTGACATTCATAGGGAAAACACAATCCAGGCTGATGACAATTTTCTCAGTGCTTCCACAAGTCAGATTACAAGACCCTTCCCTCCTTTATGGATCTAAAATCCTCCAGGAACAAATGAATGCCTTTATCTTGCTTGTTTCTCTTTAAGCCTGGAATCACAGGTAATTCTAGAGCTTAATGGGACCTCAAAGTCCATCTATCTCCACATCTCATTTTGCAGATATGGAAAAGAGGATCAGAGAGGTTAAGTGATTTTCCCAGAATCACATAGTCAGCAAATGACAAAGCTAATATTTAAACACAGAACCTAGATGTTAACTAACAACTAGTCCTAGGAAAGTTTTTATTTGAAGACACAATTCTTAACAGTTAATCCTTAATACATTCCAGAGAGTTTCTCTTTTGATGTTGCTCAAACACACGAACACACGCACACGTGAACACACACACACACACACACTCAGCTTTTTTTTTCCTTCAGGAACAAAACAATTCGCTTTTCTCAGATAATATCATTAATGTTCATTCCCTGAAAAGTCTAATTCTTCTTTGAAAAGTCTAATTCCAGTTCAGTTGTTTCAGATTCTTCATGACCCCATTTGGAGTTTTCTTGACAAAAATACTGGAGTGGTTTGCCATTTCCTTCTCTAGCTCGTTTTACAGATGAGGAACTGAGGCAAACAGGGTGAAGTAACTTGCCCAGGGTCACACAACTACTAGGTGTCTGAGGCCAGATTTGAACTCAGATGAGTTGAAGATGAGTCTTCCTGTCTCCAGACCTGGCACTCTTTTGACCTAGTTGCTTAAGAAAAGTCTAAGCCTGGATGCAAATTCATTGCCATATTAAGCACCCTTTATCAACAAGGTAGAGAGTGTAGAGAAAGAAGATTAGAAAGCAAAGGATGGTCTTAAGGAAATTTGGCATTTAGGTAAAAGAAGAAGGAAGAATAAAAGGAGATGTTTGACATCACATAGATAAATAGTCAGTTAATTGAAAACTAAAAAATGTAGCCAATCCTTCAGTCAACAATAATTTTAGATCAGCAATTGTGAAATGTCATTAAGGAATTCATAGAAATCTCTCACAATATCCTTGTTGACAAGATGAAGAATTATGGGCTATAGTACAGTTTGGCAGATTTAGAACATGATGAAAGATTAACCCTAGAGAGTAGTTATTAAAGGGTTAATGTCAACATGAAGAGAAGTTTCCAATGGAGGACTACCATGGGTGTCTCCTAGATCTTATATTATTCAATACTTATGTCAGTGATGTGGATAAAAGCATAGGTAATATATTCATCAAATTGTCTGATGATACAAAGCTAGAAGAGAGAGGTATCAACACTGAATGACAAAGGATCTAAAAAGATCTTGACAGGTTAAAATGATGGGCCACATCTAATGAGATTAAATTTAAGAGGTGTAAATGTAAATTCCTTCACTTGGCTTTAAAATATCAGTTCCACAAATATAGGATGGAGCAGGCATAGCTAGACAGTGATTTGTGGAGTATAAGGAACTGAGAGTTTTAGTATACTGCAAGCCCAATATGAGACAGTAGCATTTCATGGCAGCCAAAAAAAAAACAAAACCCTAGAATAATCTTGGGATGCTTTAAGAAAGTCATAATCAGAATAAGAGAAGTGACTTCTACTAGCATCTCTTCTGGTCAGGTTCCATTTGGAGTGTTTTGTTCCAATCTGGACACTTCATTTGAAAAGGGACTTTAACAAACTAGTATGTCTCAAGGAGAATACAGATGGTGAGAAAGGTACTGTGACATTTGAAGATGGACTGAAGGAACTAGGGATGGATGGCTAACCTTGAGAGGAGAAGATTTATCGGATGTATAATTGCTGCCTTTGAGAATTTGAAGAGTTGACTGTTTAGCCCTGGAGGAGAGAATGCCAGGCAATGGGTTGAAGCTGGAGAAAGGCAAAATTCAGCTCAATAGAAGAAGGGGAAATAAAAACAAGAAATAAAACTTACTACAGAACTCTACAAAAATGGGATGTGCTGACTTGAGAGGCAGTGAGTTTCCTTCACTAGTAATCTTCAAGCAAAGACTGGATGACCACTTGTGAAAGATGTTATAGAAGAAGTTATCATTACGGTCAGATGTTTTACTTGCTAACCTCTGATGCCCTTTCTAAGCTAGAGAGTCTGTGACTATGGCCAACCCAACACATCGGTGTGACCTTCGGCAAGTCATTCCAACTCCTTGGGTTTCAGTTTTCTCATCTGTAAAATGAGGTTATTTAACTAGATGATTAAGGCAGTGTGGTATAGTGCTTCAAGCCCTGAATTTGGAATCAGGAACACCTTGGTCCAAAACCCACCATGGACAAATAATGGTGATATGACCCTGAGAAAGTAATTTCAATTGTATGAGCCTCCATGGCTCTTCTTTAAAGTAGAGAATATAACGGCATATTCCCAATAGGGTTATTTGGGGAGTCAAATGAGAAAATTATTAAAGTATTTCACAAATCTTACAGAGCTATATAAATATCACTTATAATGATGATGTGTGATAATAGACAGGTTTCTTAACCTCTTAGTGATCCAGACCATTCTCCAAGGCTATAAAGTGTAGAGTAAGTTCTGACCTACATCGGTAAAGGGAGTTTCCTTACCTGGGAGTTCTCTATACCAATGAAATTACAGGTTAAGTTCCTATTCCTATAATGAAGATCATTGACACCAGCTTCTACTCTAAGATCCTTCCAAGTCTAAATCCTTTGATCTTTGAATATTTTTAAAACATTGATATGCTTTCCTAACTGCTAAATTCTTTTTTTCACATTTATTTATTTTATTTTTAATTTATGAAATAAAACAAGCATTTCTAACTGTTAAATTCATACAGTCATGCTGTCAAATGGCATAGTTAAGGAAAATTATGCTGCACAATTCTAGTGAAAATATGTTTACCACTTCCTTTCTTTGGTTGATTTCTAGCTCTTCTGTTCAATCATTGCTGGATTGCTACATTATTTCTTTCTAGCTGCCTTTGCATGGATGTGTATTGAAGGCATCCACCTCTATCTCATCGTTGTGGGCGTCATCTACAACAAGGGATTCTTACACAAGAATTTTTATATCTTTGGCTACCTCAGTCCGGCTGTGGTGGTTGGATTTTCAGCAGCCCTAGGATATAGATACTATGGGACAACAAAAGTGTAAGTGATTGCTGTTTCATTGAAGTGCTTGCTATAATCATAGACCTGCTTTTGGGAGGGATGACTGCTAATTTCCCTTTGCTTGCTTACATTCAACATATTTACAACCAAAAGTCATGCCTAGAAGGGTGTTGTAGTACACCCATCAAATTCCTTCCCCTTCTCTTCAGTGGAAGAGCTGGTGTTCTGGCAAACCTTTCTGGAAACATGTTACATGTTACTCATTTTTATTTTCCTTAGGATAGGTACTAGACCTATAGTTTCCTATAGAACTCCTAAGAATTGAAGTTCCTTCTACTAATCGATCAATCCATCAAAAAACATTTTTCAGCACCTGCTATCTGCCAGGCACCATAGACACAAAAAGAGGCGGAGACAGTGCCTGTCCTTAAGGAGCTTACAATCTAACAGAGGCAACAACATGCAAACAAATACATGCAAAACAAACTATATACAGGATGAATAGGAAATAATTTAAAAGATGGAAGGCACAGGAATTGAAGGGTTGGGGAAGACTTCCTGGAGAAGGTGGGATTTTAGTTGGGATTTAAAGGAAGCCAGGGAGGTCAGTAGTTGGAGCAGAGGAGGGAGAGCATTCCAAGCATGGGAGATAGCCAAAGAAAATGCTCAGAGCCAAGAGATAAAGTGTCCTGTACATAGAACAAATATCCAGGCTGTCAGTATCACTGGATGGAAGGGTACATGTTGGGGAGTAAGGTGTAAAAAGATTGGAGGGAAAGGGGGGGTGCAGCTAGGTTTGAATGACAAACAAAGCATTTTATATTTGCTCCTGGAGGCAAGATGAAGCCATTGGAGTTTATTGAATAACAGTGCAGGTTAGCAACTTCTTTACCACTTACAGTCCAAGGGAGTTGCTAGAGGCACTGAGAGGTAAAATCACTTGCTCAGGGTCACACAGATAATATTTGTCAGAGGCATGACTTTAATTCTGGTCTTCCTCTACTCTATACCAGCTCTCTATCTCCTATGCCACCCTCCCTGTCTGAAATAGTTTATTGGGACTTTTAGAAAGTGCCAAGTATTTATATTTTTCAATGTCATGCAGTATAAAATATAAGAAGCACATATATCTTGATCTATATCTATATCATCTATACCTATTTTTATTTTATTTTTACTTTTCAGATGTTGGCTCAGCACAGAAAATAACTTTATTTGGAGCTTTATAGGACCGGCATGTCTCATCATTCTTGTATGTGTATTTTATTTCTTTTTCTAAAATTTGAGTAATCACAAGCTTCTTAATAATTACTATCATTATCCTAAGGACAGTCATGTGTAAAAACAAAAGAAAAGCAAGGATATTTCTGATCATGACTTATCATTCTGCCTTTTAAAGCAGATAGTCAGAAAAAAATTATATTTGACAAAGGTCATTTCATTTTATTCTTTCCCTTTTTGTCTTTTGGGGGGAATGGAATAGATAAGAGGGAATCATTTCTAGTTTATAAGGAAAAGCATTTTCCTGCTGTGGAATCTCAGTATTATTCAGAAAGAAATGGCTACAGGGAGTGTGCCAACTGACTGGTAATCTGGCATTTGGGATGTTACATTACTTAATCTTTTATTGATGATCGGTCATCTCTGAAGATTAGACTGTCATCTCTACAGTTTTATCATTCCTAGGTACCCCGTCATCATAAAAGCTATTTTATCCTAAATTGCAACGTCAGAGACAAGAACCTGCTATTTCTCAAGGGTAGACAAGTCATCTATTGATAGGCCTATTTCAGCTGGAAAGAGGGCTTTTTAATTCTTATTGGAAGTGGTTTCCAACCTGCAAATTTGGCAGGTATTACGTGTTCCATTCTAAATAAAGATATTTTTATGTGTCTCAAGAGCATTTGTAAGTGCTGGAAGTTTTCAGCATCCATTCTGACTATAATAGTCTGTCAATGAATGTGGGAAGTCTGACAATAATTAGGAAATAACATGATCATCAGGGAATGCACAGCGGAAACACCTTTGGGCGACTTTGGTCCCCGTCTTTTGGAGCGATGGCTATCTTATGGCATTCGTTTCTCATTCCTTCCACTCCTGTATCTTTCCAATTTGGGGGAAGGGGGCGGCAGATATGCGTAAGAAGTAAAGTGATTAGTGAAAAGCTTTATAATTAGGAAATTGTATTTTAAAATGCAGCAAATATCACTTCTCAAATGTGGCTGTGTGAACAGAAGTTTTGCCTGACATTTGGGTGGGGGCAGGTGAGGAGAGAATGGTGGAGGCAGGTTGTCTAGATCTATGATTTCACCAGTTTAGAGGAATCCTGTTGTGAAAATTCCCCTCACCACTGAAGACCAGGAAGACTTCCTTAACCAGTAGTCTTAAAAATTTCCTGGGGCTTTGAGATGTTAAATTCTTTTGGTCATAGATTGGGATTTAAAGCCAGAAGGGCCCTTAGAGGTCATTTAGTCCATTGATCTCATTTCACACATATTGAATGGAAGACTAGAGAGGTTCAAAGTCACACAGTTAGCAAGTATCAGAGGTACACCTCAAACCAGGTCTTCTTATTCTAGATCCAGTCCTGTTAACACACACTGCCTCCCTCCCTAGCCTAGACTCACAGAGACAGGATATTTTTGTCTCTCTTAGCCACCACACCACACTGTTTATCATCTAATCCTTTCAGCATCAGAACAAACACCAGAAACCAAAAGAGAAAATCATGGCTAAATTTGCATTACAGCAGGACTTCTCAACTTTTTTATGTGTCTCAATCCCTCTTAATTCTAATGCCTTCCCTCTGTTAATTGCTTCCAATTTATTATTCCAATTATTATTATTATTATTCCAATTTATTATTATTATGTATATATCTTTATTGTACATAGTCATTTGCATGTTGTCTCTTCCATTAGACTGTGAACACTTTGAGAATAGAGACCATCTTTTTCCTTTCTTTGTATCCCCAGTGCTTGGCACAGTGCCCGGTACATAGGCATTTAAGGAATGCTTATTGACTGAATGATGGTCATGGATGCTTTTGGTTCCAGTGAAGCCTATGGTCACCTTCTCAGAACAGGGTTTTGTTGCCTACATTTGTAACTGAAAGAAATACTCAAATTCAATTAGAGGTTAGTGAAAATTAAGATGTAGCTTTCCCCAGGTTCATAGACCCTGTGAAATCTATTTGCAGACCTGCTAAGATCCCTATACCTGAGTAATTCCATTTATATATACATATATATATAAATTTGTGTATAATATAAACTATTGGTGGATAGGCATATACATACTATACATATATCTATAAATATGTGTGTTTACAATTATGTACATATATGTTTTCAAATACTCAAATGAAAAGATGTTTTTAAAATCTTGAAAATCGCATTCTAAATCTTTAGAGGCCTAGAAGCATCTGTTTGATTTCATTGGTGTGGCTATTTTCCAATGTACAGACTGCAATCCATGCTAGCCTACCCAGCCTCTATTGACTTGTCCATTTTTCCTTCCATAGGTTTGTCAGAGGGGGTCAACCCAGTGCATTGCTTGATTTCTCTAAACATCAAAAAATTATTAATGGAGTACATAGTCTGTCCATTGTTCATCTTGCCATATGACCAACTTTCCTTTTTTTTTGCTCATTACCCACTTTTTTATGACATCTCTTAATTCCAGTTCTACTTTGTTATTCTTTGATTTTAATTCTTGCAAGTATTCTGTTTGTTTCAAGTTTTTTGGAGGAACTGAGTGGACTTTAAAACTATCTACCAGAACCATTATTCCTGAGCTTAATTTAAAGTTGGGGGAGAAAAGAGTTGAGAAAAAGGTGGGGTATCTTAAAAGAAGAAGTAATGTTTTCATTCCCTAGTGAACCATAACAGTCAATGTAACTTGCAAGTATAAATCAGACATTTCTGGCTTTGTTCAAGTTCATGTTTTGTCCCCAACCTAAGGGATGGATGTCATGGACTGCAAAGCATTTACTGATCACATGCAGGGGAACTGCTATTACAACTACTGAACTCTCTATCAAATGACTGCCATCATTTCTCCATAGAGAGTTTTCATTCCCTCCAAATAGGAAGAAACAAGCTTTGTAAATGGTACTTACTGGCTCTTATGAATGAATCCCTGTGATATTTGTGTTTTGGGATTACAAAGTAAAATGTCTTTGAGACATTCAGTAGAATGACAAAGAACAAAGCTACTTTGTGCTGATGGCTTCTGGACCTCAAAGTCTTTCCTTCTTACCCAACCACCCCCCAAATATCCGGTCTTTCTTTAATCTACTTCAGTAACTAAACTCAAACTACTCCCATGTTTCCCATCTGGAGTCTAAGCTCCATTCTCTTTTGATTTCTTGAGTGGTAACCCTGCTTCCTGAGGTGTTTGCTCATTAATATGAAGGATCTCTCTTAATTCTGAAGTGTAAAACAGTGGCCCAGTCGATCCTACCTGAGAATGATGTCTTTTGTCATTTTAAGATTGCAACCAGACTTGAAAAGAAGCAGGTCATGCATTTGAAAGATGGAGTAGTGCAAGAAAGAGGTTTGCAAAACTTTGTAAAGCAAGCTGCACACTGAAGATAATTTACACAATTTATTTCTTCCTTCTCATATTTCTAATCTTTATCACTGAAACAATTTTAACTATACTGCCGATTAGATCAAAGTATAGAAGTGTGAAGAAACAGTTTGTGAAAATAATTTAATTTTTAAAAAGAAACTGAAGTTTCTCATAGATTCTTTCAGCATTGAAGAATAGTATTTGCTTGATTGAGACAAATACTAATTAAATGTTGACCAAAAAAGACTATTTAAAAAAATTTAGCATTCCTTTGAGTTTAAGTCATTGCCTTTGCAGATGAGCAGCTGTCTGTATGATCATCCTAATCCCTTTTTTAACTCTTGATCTTGCAGTTCCTTATATACATCTCACCAAGTATGGATTTTTTCATTCCTTTTTACCATTCTGCATATATGGAGACTTAGCTAATTTACAGTCATAAAACCCTGCCAATGCCAGCATTTGCTTTGTCATTCTCAAATGCACCAGTCTATATGTGGCCTCTCTCCAGTGATCCAGATCTTGGCCTAAATGTGCCTGCCCATCTCCGGTGATTTTAGCTCATGTCCTTGTTTATAGTGTGTTACAGCCTTCTCATGGCCACTATTAGCTAACCATTGCCCATTGGGTTGACTGCAACATAAATTCTTCCGAGATTGTAGTCTTCCATGACTCTCAGGTTTATAACATCACCAGAAGATGATTGGTATGATTATTCTAATAAATTAATTGGAGCAGACACATTTCAAGGTAATAATAGAAGAGACTGCAACTAAAAGAGACCTTAATAGTCATCTTATTCAGCCTCCTCATTTTTCAGATCAAGAAACTAAGGGCTGGGTGTATGAAGTGATTTGTCCAAATTCAGACAGATAATGAGTAGCAAAGCCAGAATCAGGTCCAGTTCCATCAGCTCTAAATCATGAGTTCTTTCTACTATACCACTCAACAAAGTATTACTAACTGAATTTCCTAAAGCATATTGTACACATTCTTGCAGTTTTAAACAAAGAAATAATTTCAACATAGAAATAAGATAAAAAGAATTTAAATCATAGTTTGTATATAACGTAGTGTGTTTTGATGACCATGTTAAAATTGAATTAGAAATGCTACCCACTGTAAATTCTTAAAGGTTATGGTTAACCACCTTAACATTTTAATTATATGTTTTAATGTGGTAGTGCTTTATTTGTTGGGAGGTTTATGTGATGACCTCAGTGATTAAGAGCACTTTGATGTTCTAACCTTTCCCCCACATTTTGTACTTTCAAGCAGCTCAATGCTTGCTTTTCATGTTTTTTCCAGTGACTGAATGACCTTGACATTTTATGATTTGATCCTCTTCACCAATGCTTCATCCCTTCTTAAGTAATAGCTTGTCTAAATGGGAGGAAATAGGTAGAATAAGTGAAAACTTAGAATAAAAAATACATTTGTGGTTTCTAATATTTTTTCCAAACTCATGAGTGTTTCTTAACTGGAATCACTCTTCCTGATAAATTCTTCAGGGTACATAATACAGTAACCTCATAAATATGAAATTACTTTGTGGAAATTAATTGGTCAAAGGATTTAGGGGAAATATCCTACTATTCCTATTTTTTTGTTTTCAGTTCTGGAGGGGAGGCACATTTTAGGAAAGAATTGATAAGTGGGAGAGCTTCCAGTGGAAAA